AAAAAAAAAAAAAAAATCGAAATTACTAGAAGACATCTGGAATGCTACCAGTTCTATTCTTAATCTTATGTGAAAGGCAGCATATTCAGAATTTATATATACCATCCAATTTTAAAATTCTTAGCAGTTTTATAATAGGGACCAGCATTATCCCTAGCATGTGCAAAGAAGATGCTCCGGAGATATTTTTTCTGCTTAATACAAAGACAACTTAGTTTAGTATTGGTGGCACAGCCTCAGGCAATAATATCATAGCTTAAAAGGGATATATCAAAGCATAGTATATTTGTTTCAGCATATTAAAATCTATGTCTTAATTGAGTGAGAATGCCAGCATTTTTTGCTATTTTTTTGTTTATATGTTGTATCTGTGGCGGTCGTTTTGAAGTAATTTAAAGTTTTTAAGAATAACGGATTTAACTGTGGTTGTGAGGGTCACATGTGAGGGTGAATGGAATTCGACGTACAAAGGAATGACAAGGACGCATTAAAACAAGTCGCTAGACTTTAGCTACCTTATCATTCTAAGCAGCATATGGCAGTCTGCGATCTTTCCTTACGATTAGGAAGCTCGAAAAGCTGCAAAACTCTTGAATAAAAGTTTATCTTTCAAATCGGCACTCTTAATCCCATAGCTATCAACGAACGCTTTTAATGCTACTAATTTATTGTTTTTCTCGTCAACATGTTCCAACCAATAGCGTAGCTCCACTTTCTGCATATAAACACACACACGACCCACAATTCCTCCATTCGCTCTGACGAAGGTCTAACGCTCGAACCGTCAGCTTTTTAACTCTTTACGGTGGCTAACTATTTCAACTTAGTTGAAATAACCAAATTACTCTTGTTATAATAAGATACGTTACATTGTAAAACTTGGCAATACGTGGGTCCTCAAGGGATCCGCTGCCGCAAGTTCAACTTCTTAAATATTCGTTGTCCGTTACCTTGTAGATTTTACCGAGTAAACGTCTCAGTTTCTTATCCTGGTTTTCCCTCGTATTACTACGGCTCTCCCTTCTTATTGCGTTACTGAGTTCTGCAACGTCTTCCTTTCTTTCAAAGGTAGAATTGACGGA